AAAAAAAAAAAAAAAAAAAAAAAGGAAGCATTCTTGAAGAAAATCAGAAGTGCTACTCCCGTAAACACACAAATGATAAGTGAAAGAGCCTTATTGCTAGTTGGAGAAAATGTTAGTGGAAGATCAAATCTTAACCCAGAGCTAGGCTCTAACTCTCTTCAATTCTATGAAGGCAGAGAGAGGTGAAGAAGCTATAGGAGAGAAGTCTGAAGCTAAAAAAGGTTAGTTCACAGGGTTTAAGAAAAAGAAGCATCTCTATAACATAAAAGTACAAGGTGGGACAGGTGTGGCTCACACCTATACCTGTAATCCTAGCACTTTGTGAGGCTAAGAAGGGAGGATTGATTGAGACCAGGAGTTTGAGACCCCATCTCTATAAAAAACAAACAATAAAATTAACTGGGTGTGGTGGTGTGTACCTGTAGCATGAGCTACTCAGGAGGCTGAGTTAGTGGGATCACTAGAACCTAGGAGTTTGAGGCTGCAGTGAACTATGATTATACTACTTGTACTCTGGCCTAGGCAAGAGTGAGGCCTTGCCTTGAAGGGGAAAAAAGACAGGTGAAACAGTATGATGTAAAAATTGCAATAAGTTACGCAGAAGACCCAGTTAGATCATTAGTGAAGGTGGGCAAAATAAACAACAGAGTTTCAATGTAAGATAAAATAGTCTTATAACGGAAGAAGATGCGAACTCAGACTTTCATAGCTAGAAGAAATCAATGCCTGACTTCAAAAGGCAGGCTGATTCATCTGTTAAAGGCTAATGCAGCTGTTGAAGGCAATGATCATTTACTGTTCAGAAAATCCTACAGTCCTTAAGAATTATGCTAAAGCTTCTCTGCCTATATTCTATAAATGGAACGATAAAGCCTGGTGACAGCACATCTGTTTGGTCTACTGAATATTTTAAGCCCACCACTGAGACCTACTGGTCAGAAAAAAAAATTCCTTTCAAAATATTACTGCTCACTGACAGTGCCACTTGGTCACTCAAGGGTTCTGATGCAGATGTTGAAGGAGATGAATAAATCCTCTTTCTTTTTTGGGGGGGCAGGGGGGACAGAGTCTCACTTTGTCACCCTCAGTAGAGTGCCATAGCGTTATAACTCACAGCAACCTCAAACTCTTGGGCTTAAGTGATTCTTGCCTCAGCCTCCCAAGTAGCTGGGACTACAGGTGCCCACCACAATGCCAGCTATTTTTACAGATGAGGTCTCATGGCTCAGGCTGGTCTCGAACCTGTGAGCTTAGGCAATCCACCCACCTCAGCCTCCCAGATTACAGGCATGAGCCACAGTGCCCAGCCAAGATGAATAAATTTCAACCCTACTAACACATCTATCCTGCAGCTCAAGGAATAATTTTGACTTTCAAGACCTACTTTTTTTTTTTTTGAGACTGAGTCTCAAGCTGTCATCCTGAGTAGAGTGATGTGGCGTCACAGCTCACAGCAACCTCAAATTTTTAGACTTAAGTGATCCTCTTGCCTCAGCCTCCCAAGTAGCTGGGACTACAGGAGCCTGCCGCAATGCCCAGCTATTTTTTGGTTATAGTTATCATTGTTGTTTGGTGGGCCAGGGCTGGATTTGAACCCTCTAGCTCCCTATCCACTTGAGCAATAAATTCTTTTTAGATTTGGGCAGCACCTGTGGCTCAGTGAGTAGGGCGCTGGCCCCATATACTGAGGGTGGTGGGTTCAAACCCAGCCCCGGCCAAACTGCAAAAACAAACAAACAAAAAATAGCCAGATGCCTGCAGTCCCAACTACTCGGGAGGCTGAGGCAAGAGAATCACCTAAGCCCAAGAGTTAGAGGTTGCTGTGAGCTATAACACCATGGCACTCTACTGAGGATGATAAAGTGAGACTCTGTCTCTTAAAAAAAAAATCTTTTTAGATTAAAAAAACAAATAGATCTTTTCATAGCTGCCATAATTCTGATGGATCTGAGCAAAGTAAATGGGAAACCTGGAAAGGATTTACCACTCCAGACACCATTAAGAACATTTGTGATTCATGGGAGGTCAAAATATCCATATTAACAGGATTGGGAGGAAGTTGATGCCAGCCCTTATGCATGACTGTGAGGGGTTCAAAACTTGAGTCCAAAAAAGAACTAACTGCAGATGTGGTGGAAACAGCAAGAGAACTAGAATAGGAAATAAACTCTGAAGATGTGATTGAATTGCTGCAGTGGCATCAAACTTGAACACAAGAAGACTTGCTTCGGCTCGGCACCTATAGCTCAACTGGCTAAGGTGCCAGCCACGTACACCTAAGGTGTCAGGTTTGAATCCCCAGCCCAGACCTGCCAAACAACAATGACGGCTGCAACCAAAAAACAGCCGGGCATTGTGGCGGGTGCCTGTGGTCCCAGCTACTTGGGAGGCTGAGGCAGGAGACTCGCTTGAGCCCAGGAGTTGGAGGTTGCTGTGAGCTGTAATGCCACAGCACTCTGCCCAGGGGGACAGCTTGAGGCTCTGTCTCAAAAAAAAGAAGACTTGCTTCATGTAGATGAGTAAAGGAAGTGCTTTCTTGAACTGAAATCTACTCTAGGTGAAGATGCCATGAACATTGTTGAAACGACAACAAAGGATTTAGAGTATTTCATAAGATTAGTTGGTAAGTCAAACTTCATTGTTGTCTTATTTTAAGAAATTGCCACAGCTACACAGAGCTTTAGTAACCACCACCCTGATCAGTCAGCAGCCATCAAGACTGAGGCAAGATGCTCCACTAAAAAGATTACAACTGACTGAAGGCTTACGTGGTCATTAGCATTTTCTAGCAATAAAATTTTTAAATTAAGGTGTTTTACTGTTTTTCCGGCATAATACTACTGCACCCTTAACACTCCACAGTATGATGTGAACATAACTTTTATAAGCACGGGAAACCAAAAAATTTGTGTGACACACGTTATGGCAGTGGTTTGGAACCAAATACATACTATCTCTGAGGTATGCCTGTAGTATTTGCTAATTTTAAGTTAACAACACAATAAACCATTTCCATTTTGAAAGAAATACAATGCATTAAGTATAATGCAGGAGAAAATTATCTAGTGCTAAACCATAAACAACTATAAACAACTAACTGCCATTTTTTATATCTACCTTTAAAATTTATATTTATACACGCACACACAAATGACATTACCCATTACATCTCGGACAAATTCTGGGGGAGGTCGAGGTGCCCATTCACTCATTTTCTCTGGAATTGGAACTGCTTTGTCCTGCAACATTTAAACGTGAAGACATTTGTAAGCATAAACCTGTTAAGAAAGTTATACCTCTAATGACCAAAGAATTTTAACTCAACTAGTTAAACAGGGTTGCTTTGCTCCCTGGACCCAGAGGCAATTTTATCTTCTTTCCTGTCTTGGTTTTACTTCATCCTGTATGCTCTGAGGTGCAACACAGCCCACACCTTCTCAGAGCAGAATTCAGAAACCTAAGCCACAGTTTATGGCTAAAAACATCCAATTGTAACACCAGTAGAAGAGAAAAATCAAGCCTTTCTAATCAAAGGTATATAAGATCTTCTCAGCGAATTGTTTTTATGACTCACAGGACTGAGGTTCAGACGGGGGAAGGGAAGACTGCCTTGCTCCAAGTGTCTCGGCTAATCTCTCCCCAAATCGGTGTTGTTTAGAAGAAATAAAACCTTTTGCTAACCCGAACACTGCATCTTTTCACTCTAACGCTTTAGTTCACGTAAAGTCAAAACTACAAAGGATCTTAAAGCATAGGAAGCTGTTTCACTGCACCTTCATCCTGGCTGGGCTAATTTAAGGATAGACGCGAAGCTCACTATCTTCAGGGCAGCCTTCGCCTTCCCCAAGACAGCTTTAGGAAACCAAATATTGAATTTTTGCATTTGGAAGCAGAAAAGGTGGGTTCGCGGCTCGGAGAGGCGCCAGGGCGGAAGGGGGTCGGCCTCGAATCGGCTGTGAAGCCTAGGCCTTGTCTTACCGGGTTCTTCATGAGCCGCTCCAGCTTGAGCCTCTGCTCCTCTGCCGCATTCTTGGGGATGACAAGCGCCTGAGGCTCTTTCTTGGGCCTAGGCGGTCGCACCGAGGAGGCTGCGGAGCTCGCCATGATAGCTTTCCTACATCCCCGGCGAGCGACAAAGGCGGCGCGCACGTATGACGACGGAGCCGCGCGCCGGTGACGCAAGAGCAATCTCTGAGCCCGGGAGGTTAGGTCGGCGTCGCACGCCGGAAGTATCTTGGTGAATATTCATGAGCTGGAGGCTGGCTTGGGCTGTTTTGATCTAAGCTGCTCAACTTCATTTCCTGTTTCTGACCAAATTGCTGCAACTTGATTCCCTCGTCCCTGGGGGAAAGGTGGACCTCAGTGCCTGGGAAGCCTGGCCCCCGCCGACCTTTCCAGTCTCGGTGGGCGACGTCGCGCCACCGCGCCTGGCTCTCAGCATCTCCCCCTGCCCGGCTATCCTTGCTTTGTTTTGGCGATTCCCCGAATCTGATCCCCTCTTCCATTTCTAACAATCGCCTATTTATATTAGCGCAAATATGTCACTGAGCTCTCCGAAGATTGGGGCCTATCTCCTTTGTCCCTTTGGATTATTATGTACTTGGCTCCCAGCAAATACACCTCTGCTTTGTAAATGAGCCTTTCTTAGGAGGAAGAGAAAAGCCTCGCTTACATCTGGAAGCTGGCCGGGCATTCACAGATAGGACTTAGTGTTCTGTTGAACGTAATTTCCCGGGACACTAGCATCACACAAGGCCATTGTTCAACTGTGATGGAGGAAAACATAGACCTGTGATCATATTTAAACTCATAACTCACATGAAAAGAAATTGTTCAAACTTGGCCAGGCACGGTGGCTCACGCCTGTAATCCCGGCACTCTGGGAGGCTGAAGCAGGTGGATTGCCAGAGTTCAGGGGTTCGAGAGCAGCCTAAGCCAAGAGTGAGCTCGCCCTGCCTCTAAAATGTAGCCGGGCATTGTGGCAGGTACTACTTGGAAAGCTGAGGCAAGAGAATCACTTAAGTCCCAGACTTTGAGGTTGCTGTGAGCTATGATGCCAGGCAGTCTACCAAGGGTGACAAAGTGAGACTGTCTCCAAAAAAAAAAAAGAAAGAAGAAATTGTTCAAGGTAGAAGACCAAACGTCTCTGTATTTTGACTAATATGAGTGACTGCTGCTTCTTTACAGCTTTAAACTTGACTCCTTCCTCTTGCTTTACCTATTGTAGAAGTTAATTTTATGTGTCAACTTGCCAGGGCAGTGGAGTGCTCAAACGCTTGGTCAAACCCTATTCTGGGTGTATCTGTGAGGGTGTTTCCAGATGAGATTAACATTTAAATTGATCAACTAAGTAAAGTAAATCCTCCTCTCTAATGTGAATTGTCTTCACGCAGCACGCAATCAGCTGAAGGCCTGAATAGAACATAACCTGACTCTCCAAGTAAGAGAAAATTTGGGAGTCATTGTCTTACGGTTTCGGAACCAAGATATTGGTGACTTGAACTGAAACACTGGCTCTTGATGGGTCTGGAGCCTGCAAGCTTTCAGACTGGGATTGAAACATTGCCTCTCCTGGTTCCTGGGCCTTCCCAGGTGAGCTGGAATTACACCTTTGGCTCTCCTAGCTCCCCAGCTTCCTGACTTATCCTGCCAGCTTTGGCACTTGTCAGCCTCCAAAATCACACAGCCAATTCCTTTTAAAATACAACCTATTGGTTCTGTTTCTCTGAAAAGCCTCAGTACAAATATTTGTTAAGATGACTAATTATAGAATTGTCCTCACTTCCTGACAGTGTCTAATCCAGTGTAAAAGTGCTTGAATCCTCCCCCAAATCACCTACCAAAAGTCCAAATCCTAAAATGATTCCTTTCCAACAGTCTGAGGTAAATGTAGTCTTCTTTTTTGCAACAAGCAATACGCCTAGTTTTCTCAAATGCAGGTATGTTCCTGGAAGTCTTCACAATTTGTTTTCTTGTTTGTTATTTGTCACCTCCCAAATGTTATGTTTACTGCTGTGTCTGGGGAAAGGCCTGGCTGCAGCAAGATAATGAACATTTGCTGGATGAACATGGGATCTTGGGGGGCACTTCAGATGCTACGGCTGCCTTCTCAGCCCTCCCAGCAAGTCCCTAAGGGAATAAACAGGTGAACGAATGGATGGTATCCAAGGGTACTGTTAGTTCTTTAAAAGCCATTGCTGGCTGCCTAATAGTAGGTGGTTTTCTAGGGGCCAGGAGTGAGAAATTAGGGAGAGTCCTTGAGTGGCCTAGATCTGCCAAACCTGGAGAGGGCTTGGCCTGAGCAGAGTCATGCACATAACCACTCACCCTACAGCATACACCCTAGCAACTTAGTACCTCACTTTTCTTCCATCACTCCACAAAACAAAGAACGAACCTGAAGTGTCTTTTCCTCCCTAGAAAACTCCCACACCGCTTTCTTAACTTGGTTTAAATGCTGCCCCCTCCATGAAGCCTTCTCTGATTATCCCTCCCTCCCCACCTCCCACCTCCAGGCAATAAGTTACTTCCTTCCTGGAGCTCCCCCAGCTCAGGGTCCCAGTTACTGGTGTGGTGGTTACCACAGTACACTCTCACCATCTGCCTCTTTAAAGGTCAGAATCCCAGCATCTAAGCGTGGCGTGGCATAGAGAAGGTATTTCCAGAATCCTTACAAACAGAGGAACTAAAAAAAAAGTGAATGAATGTGTCAACGAGATGATCAAGTGATGGATGGATGAATGAACAAGGAAGTTAATTGAGTGCAAGAAAGAATGAATGAACACTCAATAAATAAATGGACACTCGATGAATGAATGAACACATAGGATAGTGGAGTAGCAGGGAGTTACAGAGCCAGGAATGCAGTGTCTGTCACAGTGTCTGTCTAGTTGGCAGGGGTCCCCCTGGCACCTCCCAGCTCAGGGTCTGGCACAAATCTGGTACTTGGCAGATAGCTCTGGGTGGAGTGTAAGTGAATGAATGGAGTGAATGAATGCACAAAGGTGGGGAAGAGTTAAAGCATGTGGGTGTGAAAGAGCTGATAATAACAATCTCAGTGCTTAAGTCCAGGCTAAGTTGTTTACATGTTATCATCCCTATTTAACAGAGAAGGAACTGAGGCCCAAAGGAGAAAGTGCTGGCTCAGGGACATACAGGCTCAAACCCAGTGGGCTGGCAATGGGTTAGTGAGGGCCTGAGTGATTATGTGACTCACAAATGGATGGGACAATGGCCCCAGTGGACATTAGTGGGGGCTGTTCCTTTGGCACTTCTTTGTTTGTTTGTTTTTTGGCAGTTTTTGGCTGGGGCTGGGTCTGAACCCGCCACCTCCAGCACATAGGGCCAGTGCCCCACTCCCTTGAGCCACAGGTGCCACCCTCCTTTGGCACTTCTTAGGGCTATGGCCAGATTTGCAGTCCTGCTCCCTGAGGTGAAAGGCACGCTCACTATCAGATACCCCATGAAAAGATGCTCAGGCCTAGAGTGCCACCAGAGGGCAGAAAAGCCCCACCCAGGCCACTGAGGCCCCGGAGTCCAGCCACCAGGTACCTAATCCACCCTCCCTGAGAAGAACTAGCACCCAAGGAGCACAGTCTACCCTTCAGAAGACACCAGTGCCCCAGAGGCTGACAGGCCTGGTGCCAGGGTTTGGCCCCACCTACCATGGAAGCTACTTAACCTCTCTAAGGCAGTTTTCTTACACACAAAATGGGCATCAGCAAACCTATCCCTGACGTTGGCGTGTGAATAAAGCAACATGTGGATATATAGTGGCCAGTACAACATCTGACACTCAGTAGTAAGGTCACTACCTGTCTTAGTTTGGTTTCAGGACTGAGGGGTTTCCCAGGACATGGGACTTTCAGTGCTAAAATCACTAGAGTCTAGGGGCAAGGAAGGACAGTTGGTCACACCCTAGGAGCGGACACTTTTTCCTCAATCCTTTGAGTGGTGATTGATACTAAAAGTACTAAAACAGCAAAACTTTTCACAAATATCCCATAATTTTGAGTTTCTCACTGAATAGGGAGTCAATGGTTTTTCCATAATAGTCCTGCGGTTTAGATAACAAGACAATAGATCCACCAATGGAGATGAAAACAAAGATGGAAACACATACTTTGGAAGTGTTTGTCACTTCCTTACAAAGAAGAATATACACTTAACCATGCAACTGAGCACTCTCCCTCCTAGATGTTTACCCTAGAGAGACGAAAGTACATGTCTACAGAAAGACCTGCATGTGAATACATATAGCAGCTTTATTCATAATTGCCAAACACTGGAAGAAATCCATATGACCATCAAATTGTGATCTGTCCTTGCAGTGAAATACTACTCAGCAGTCAAAGGAAGAAACTGTCAATTCTTGCAACATCATGGATAAATCTCAGAAGCTTTTGGGTGAGTGAAATTCGATCTAAAAGGCTACACAGCCGAGTGCAATGGCTCATGCCTGTAATCCTAGCACTCTGGGAGGCCAAGGCGGGTGGATTGCTTGAGCTCACGAGATCAAGACCAGCCTGAGCAAGAGCAAGACCCTGTCTCTAAAAAATATCCAGACGTGGTAGGCGCCTGTAGTCCCAGCTACTTGGGAGGCCGAGGTAAGAGACTTGCTTAAGTCCAGGAGTTTAAGGTCACTGTGAGCTATGACACCATAGCACTCTACTGAGGGCAACAAAGTGAGACTCTGTCTCAAAAAAATAAAATAAAATAAAAGCCTACACAAAACCTGTCTGGGCATGGTGGCTCATGCCTGTAATCTCAGCACTTTGGAAAGCTGAGGCAGGAGGCTCACTTGAGGTCAGGAGTTTGACACCAGCCTGGGCAATATAGTGAGATCCCTATCACTACAAAAACATTTTTTTTTTTAATTTGCCAGAAATGGTGGCAGGCATCTGTAGTCTCAGTTATTTGGAAAACTGAGCCAGCAGGATCACTTGAGCCCAGAAGATTTTTTTTTTTTTGAGCCCAGAAGATTTTGAGGTTGCTGTGAGTTATGCTGATGCCACTGTGCTGTAGCCTGGGCAACAGACCAAGGCCCTATCTCAAAATAAAAATAAAACAATAAAAGGACCACAAAGAAAGATGGAAAGTTTATATCTTTTGTATTTACCTGGATGGATTTGGAGAATCCAAATGGAAAAGCAATCATCTAATGCACTCAGT